TGGCAATGCTCTGTTTTTTTTTATGATCTTGGTGTCTTTGTACAGTTACATAAAGTCTATGAAAATTGACTGTATATTTTAATTAAACTCATTTATTTGGGTACAGTTATGAGAATGATATCTCAGTAAAAGTTTCAAAAACTGAACTCAATTATGAAAAGATGTCTTATATCCTGGTATTCCAAGTTCAATTTTTATTTTCATTTTTTAAATTGATAAAGGCAGTGATTGACTTAATTCAATACCATAGATTATTTTCCAATATTTAAAATAAAGTAAACCAAATAATTTAGCATATCACATTTCAGCAGCCACATTCAAGCATGAAGAAAATTAAATGCAGTGGTACATGACATCAAGTATGGTAACAACATGAATAATAGGTGAGAATACTGAGGTTACTTCACAATTTCATTTTTTTAAAGATTTATTTATTTATGCATACAAGAACTGGGGGACAGGTCAGAGGTGTGGAGGGTGAGAGGATTCACCAGAGACAGAGAGGAGAAGAGAACAGGCAGATTGACTGAAATACAATGCTGAGGGGAGCAGCGGGCGAGTCAGTAGAGGTCTGCTATGCTATGTGGGTTGCTCCCTGGCCAGGGATTGAACTTGTGCTGCAGTGGCTGCGGATTGCTTCATAGGTTGTCTCTTAACACCTTGTGCCACCAGGGAGGCTCACGTCACAATTTTAAAGTACAAAGTCTATTTGGACAATAACATTTAACAGTTAATAAGTGTTTGCTAGTTTTACAATTATAAAAATTACATTATAATTATTACAATTGATTTGTTTTCACAGCAAATTATAAGTGGTCTCAGAATAACAAAAATTTAGACTTGACAAGTGTGACTTTACTGGGGAAAAAAATCTGTGTTCCTATAAATCACTTGATGTTATTTACTTGTAGAGGCTTGGTAATTTTTGTGTTCCTAAGTAATGAGTTAACAAAAATAAGTATTTTTGGTTTCTCCTTTAAAAACAGAGATTTTTTTTAGTGCTAACAATGTGTCAGCACTAGATATGTACTTGTCTAGTACATATTAGTGAGTCCAACAGTTTTATGTTCTGAAACACACCAACAAGGTAATATAAAATAATCACAGTCTCAACAAATCTTATGGTAGCAGGAAAGTAATAGATGCATTTTACTTAACACTCAGTATATTTATGATTACATGGAAAAGAGAAACTATGTGAACTTTAATTTTATTTCAACAAATATTTATTGAATGTTACAGGACTCAGTGTTTTGTTGTTGCTGTCGCTTTATTTATTACAATGCTAACTAAGAAATACATGGACTGTGTTCATACAGAACTTTCAGCCCGAGAAGACAGATAACTATTGCATTAAGATATGTTCTAATAAGTTCTAACACATGGGAAAGAGAGGCGCTCTCAGAACACAGAGAAGAGGCATAACAATCGACTTGAGAGACAGTGATAATGGATGACTTCCTGAAAGATGTGAACCCTAAGTGGGTACTGAGAGAGGAGTAGCAGCAAGATCAGGTATGGCAGGGATAGGGTGGAGAGAAGTGAAAGTATGTCTTATACAGAGCACAGTCTCACAGGCTGGAATGAGCATGTCAAGTTAAGAGAGGGAATGTTTGACATACCATAGAGTGAAGAGTTGTGATGTGAAAACATGAAGTATGATAATTCAAGGCTAAGAATGGTCAAGGTGAAAGGACATGGATTATTTTAGAAGTGACAGTGGTTTCTGTTCTGCTTGTGTTGTTTTTTATGAACAGAATACCATGAACAGGTATGTGAGGTCAGTTTTTCAACAGCAAATCGACATATGAAAATAAAAATTGAACTTGGAATACCAGGATATAAGACATCTTTTCATAATTGAGTTCAGTTTTTGAAACTTTTACTGAGATATCATTCTCATAACTGTACCCAAATAAATGAGTTTAATTAAAATATACAGTCAATTTTCATAGACTTTATGTAACTGTACAAAGACACCAAGATCATAAAAAAAAACAGAGCATTGCCAGGACGACATTAGATCCATCTCTCCATGGCTCATCAGTAACTCTCCAGGTTAACTGAAATCCTGATTTTAAACACAACAGATACATTTTGCTTGTTTTTAAACTACATAAAAGAAATCATACAGTATGCACTCTTTTTTTCTCAAATCTTTCCTCCGATTTACGGTAATGAGGCCTTCATAGTGTTGCATGCAGCTGCTGATTGCTAACTGTGGTGCTGGGCAGTGTTTCATATTGACATATGAAACAAACACACCGGAGAAACCAAAAATCACATTTGCGCTTATGGTAGCCAGTGCCATAGGGAAGCCCAATTTCCCCATGAGGCTGACTAACCACGGATGGCTCTGTCCTAAATCACGTTGGACGCCAAATCTGTTATAGGACAGGGAGAGGGGCAGCCCAAACCCCGCAAACCTGCCTATACTAAATGGGTTCTGCCATCCGCCGCATCAACACAAAACACATGAGACTAATGGGAAGGATCTTTAATAAAACTAGGAAACAATACAGGTAAGGCAAAGAGTCTAGTTTCTAAATGAAGCACCCAAAGTTACCCGTCCCCTCGTAGGTAAAAGTCCATCCATATGGGATCGGCCCAGAACAAGGCCCCAAAGCCTGCTACAAGTCTAAAGCATCTTCCAGTGGGGACCCACAGAAAAGGGTCACAAACAACCGGACAAGCCCGGAAGGAAAAGAGCAAAATCAACATCAAGATAAAAGCTGCCATTGTCACCTCCCCACAGGTCTCACCCACATCTGTGTCACCCAGTCCACGACCAAAAGACAAGCGCAGTTTCTTCACGTGTCTCTAGGCTCCATGCGCCTCCTCCAGGTCTCCTGGCTCCATCCTGCTTCCTTCCTTAGTCTCTTCTTCAGCTTCTCCCCTTCCTGCTCAGCTCCACCCTCCCTTGGGTGGGGCAGGGAACCTCCCCCTTTCCTGGGGACCACCCTGTTGCAGTTTCAATGTAAAGAATAAGGTGGAGGAGGCGTCTCCTTGGTGGCACAAGGGGTTAAGTCACAGCGCTATGAAACTATCAGCAGCCACTGCAGCACTGAATGAGTTCGATCCCCAGCACGCAAAGGAGCTGACCCACATGGTGCAGCAGACCTCTTCTGTCCTGCCCACTGCTCCCCTCAGTGGTGTATTTCAGTCAATCCACCTCTTCTGTTCTCCACTCTGTCTCTGGTGAATCCTCTCACCGCCCCCCCTCCCCCACTCCACACCTCTGGCCTATACCCCAGCTCTTATAGGCATAAACAAATAAATCTTAAAAAAAAAAAAAATAAGATGGAGACCAATAGATAAAGTTGGGGAAAATGAGTAATTAAAAGATGTGATACTGGATTGCGTGATCTCCCTTACATGTGGAATCTGAAACAAAAAACAAAAACAAACTAAAACCTAACAAGCAAACAAAAAACCAAACTCAGGGACACAGACACAGATTCATGGTTGCTTGAGGCAGGGCTGGACAAAAGAGTAAGGTGGCCCAATGTATAGACTCCTGTTATAAGATTAGTGTGAAGATGCCAAGAACTGCATGATAACTATAGTTAATGATGCTGTATGATATATATATTTTTAAAGATTTATTTATTTATGCATACAAGAACTGGGGGACAGGCCAGAGGTGTTGGGGGAGGAGGTAAGAGGATTCACCAGAGACAGAGTGGGGAGCTGATCAGGCAGATGTACTGAAATACACTGCTGAGGGGAGCAGTGGGCAAGAAAGGAGAGGTCTGCTGCACCATGTGGGTAGCTCCCTGGCCAGCTGGGGATCGAACTCGTGCTACAGAGGTTGTGGACAGCTTCATAGTGCTGTGCTTAACCCCATGCACCACCAGGGAGGCCGATGATGCCGCATAATATATTTAAAGTTAGTAAGAGTATAGATCTTAAGAGTTTTCATTAATAACAATTTTCTGGTTTTGCTATTTTACCATTGCTATATAAGTTGTTGTCACTAGGGAAAGCAAGATGTGATGTTTGGTATAGGGAATATCTCTGTATTTTTTTCACCTCCTTATTTGTCAATAATAATTTCAAAATAGTAAGAGTTTTTAAAAAAGAAAATATAAATAAATCTAAAGAGACAGAACCCAGATTTAGTGTTAGCCTAAAATGGAGTGAAGGAGGGAAGCAGAAAGGGATGAGAGAGAGAGAAATTACAGTGAAGGAAATACACACACACACATACACATTCACTATCTTGATAGCTTTGAAGATTCCATGTGTATAAATACCTATCAAAATGTATCAAATTCTATGATTAGAGGATATACAGTTTACTGCATATCAGTTTTACAGTAAAACTTAAAAAAATTTCATTTAGGGTCCATAGGGAGTATTTGCATAGGGTGGTTTAGAAGCATAACTTAAAATGAATTAACTAGTTGTGGAACAGAAAGCTTTTGTATACTTCTTGCAAAAAAAAAAAAATGAAAGAGGAGAGAGAAAACAAAAGGAAAGAAAGAAAAGAAAAGAAAGGAGCGAGGGAGGGAAGAGAGGAGAGAGTAGGCATTTAAGAAACTATCTTTAACCTGCAGGGGTAGCTCAGGTGAAGAAGGAAGGTAGAGGATAATGCCCGAAGAGCAAGCACAGTAAAGAAAACGGGCTAAGAAAAGCACTAGGCATAAAGGAGTTTGTTTTTCTTATTAAAGCATTAAGAAATTGAAAGTCTGTCTCATGGCTAGGATATAGTAAGCTCTGAGATAAAATGGAAAACCCTGAGACTGAAGAAGTAGGCAAGAGTAAGAGTCTAGGAAATCCAGACTTTGTTCCGAAAGTAAGTTAAAATCTGCAAAGTTATTACATTCTCTGATATTTCTAGAATCGGTTACTTTTAATGAATAAAAGAGACTCTCAAGATAGAGTGTCCAGTGTATGAAATGCCTGTTATTTGTTACATTAAACCATAGGCAAATCTCTATAGGAGGACAAATGCTCAAATTCTCTCCTTCTGTCCTTCTTTCTCTAGTGTTTTCTAATTGTGTCACCGTGATTTCTTCATGCAGTTAATGTTACTGAAAAGCCACAGGTATTCTGAGCTATGTCATTTAAAATGTCTGGACCCCTGAAAGATCCCTGGATGGAGCAAAACCAGCCGAAGATTAAAGGAGCCATGAAGGTGAATTTTTTTTTAAAAAATTTGTTCATTCTGAATAAGGGACCAGGAAAAAGACTAATTAATACAAAGTAAAAATCTAAATCAACAAGCAACTATAAACCAGAGACACACTATGGTGGGGGGGAGGGAAGGAAGGAAGGGACTGGGAGAGGAAGGACTAGGGTCAAAATAAGGGGGCATGCAATTATATGGGGAATATAAACAAAATGAAAATGCATACATTGTGCAAAAATGAAAAATGATGTAAGAATTATTTAAAATAAAATAGTAAAAATGTTAAATATGGAATACCTAAATCTATTAATAAACTTTTACACTGTTAAATTAAAAAAAAAATGTTCATTCTGTTGCGTGAAATGGCCTGAGATAAGGAAGTACAATAGTTCCTAAAAGCTACTGAAGTTAACTGGGATTAGCATGTTGGAAGTGAAGGTGGTCTAGGGTTAGTGGGTTTCCCTCAGTACCAATAACAAATTCATATAATTTAAGACAATCTGCAAAGAATTGTCCCTGGGTCACAATAATAAGTTCAGAAATAGACTCGCCATACAATTTGAGCCAATAGACTCATGATAGAGGTACAGGAAGCTCAGGAGGTGATCAGTATTGATTTAAAGGGGCCCTTCTCCAACTTCATTGTCAGGAAGACCTGGGGAATGTTGGGAAGAAGGCTTAGGTCGGACTCACAGTATGAGATGGCAGGAGGCATGTAAAACTTGCTGATTGGGAGCTAAACCTAAAATTTAGTAAATATTAATATGAAATGCCATTATTTAAAAAGAATATATAAGGAAATATTTCCTTGAAATTTTCCATTCCTCCTTAATGGCAGGGCAAGGAATAGTAAAATTCAGTGAAGGTTAAGGTCAGAAAATTTCAAAATGTACTGATTCACATCTGAGTTAGTTTTCTGGTCTATGACTCTACATAACTAAGCCTTGTAATCTTCTGATAGTTACCAGTAAAGTGAAAGAAAACAGGCCAGCAAAGAAAACAGTATTAACAGTCACTGAGGAAAGACAACCATCATAAGAAGTTTCTTTAATAAATAATTACAAAAGTGAAAATTACTCTTGAGAAAGGAGGGATACCATGAGGACTAACCACTTATGAGTGTCAGGTAAGCCATGCCAATGGGACATAGATATTATCTATTTAATATTACTTGGAAAGGATTTGGTGAAACTTCCATTGTTGGAACTGAGTTGGGAAGTCTCCCTGGTACAAATGATTTGGAAAGGTGTTCACAATTTTGTGAAAAGTTTTGTATGTGCAATTAATGTTTAACCTTATTTTATGGTCCCCTGCAGTAAGCCTCAGAAAATAACCTGAAATGAGGTGAATTCTCTATTCAAGTGTTATCATTATAAAATTATTTGTAAAAATGAAAAGTTATAATTTACTTCAGTGTCTTTTATTACACTGGTAAGAATATAGGTAAGAGATAGGTAAGAAAACATCACACCTACTTAATATCAATAGAATATTGATGAATTAATAATGACATGAAAATGTGCATCTATTTATAGTCAAATTTAGAGCTACAGAATTATGCAAATAATTCTGCATAGAATTTATATGTGCTTATTCAGAGAGAAAATTCACCAAAATGTATAGAATTCACTTCTTTAGATAGTAAAATTATGGCTGATTTTATGATTTCCATTTTTTATTAAAAAAAAAACAACAAATTCTTACTACAGGAGCCATAATTTTTTAGCTGAAAAAAAAATCTATGTTAAAAACACTTAGATATATTTAAATACATTATATCATTTTGAAATTTTCTGAAATCTATTCGATCATATTATGTTCCATCATTTTATTAAATTCCCAATATTCTCTCTATTATATATGAATTTTTTTGGCTAGTTATGGTAGAATTCAAAGTGCTGGGAAAGTAACTTTTGAATATCTGAATTACAAATCAATTCAGGATATTAAAATGTACTTAATTCTTTTTACCCAAATCTCTTCTTCAAGAAATATATATCTGAAAGAAATGATTATGTGAATATATGAAGCCATCTATACAAAGATTATCTTTCAACACTCTTTCTAGTAGGCCATTTGGAAATAAACTCACTATTCACCAAAATAGGAGTAGCTGGATATAATGCGATACGATACAGTCATTAAACCAAAGACAATCTATCAGCAGACGGCAGCAACAGTCCAGAACTTACTGTTGAACTGAGTGATGGTAGATCACATGTGCTTTTTTCTCTTTTCACATAAGCATTCCCAGGTATTTAATAACCTTTGAAAATATTTTATTAACAGTAATGAAATATTTTTATATTGTGCCAATGCATTGTAAATTATTTAACCATTTGTTTATTTAACTAGTAAACTTAATCAGTTATTTATCCAGCTAGAAGAAACTAAATACAAAAAGAAGTCTCTACACTTACAGCCTCCCTTAACTCTACTATTGAGTTGTACAGATAAACAAAAATGTGCTCAATATTTTCTTTATTACCAAAACAGACCCTTAGATTTTTGGCACAAGAAAAAGAAAAGGACATATGTATCACTGGGAATATAAAGGTTTTCAACTTTCTTTACTGTAAAATAAGAAAGCTTCTTAATTATGCAGATCTTAAAATTGAACATTATTCTTTGTGCAGTTGACTGTCTTGGGTGCCAACTTTTTATCATGTATTAGTGAAAAACAGTATTATATTTATGAATTAAAGGAAAGTAGAATTGGTCTTACAAAGTTACTTAAAATATGATTTACAAATAAGATAAAAATATAATTATACAAACTTCTAGTTATGAAATAAACAAGTTCTAGGAATGGAATATACAGCAGGATGAGTATAGAAAAAATATTTATTCATTATTTACTCATTATTCTCCAAACAACTTTCAAAATAGTGATAATTAAAGAATAGATATACCAGTGTAGAATAATTATATAAAATAAATGTAACTATTTAATTGTTATTTAACATTAATGCAAATGTAAGCACTTAATTTATGATTATATAGTGTCAAATGGTTTAGAATTTAAATTTGTTAATATAAAGTATCTTTTAATATCATAATTTACCACTATAAAATAAAAGCCAAAATCTGAAAATTGATTTTTTTCCTTAACCTGAGAGTACTGAAATTATAAGATTGTCTAATCAAATTATAAATGTTGCAATGTTTTCAGTCATCATAAAAGTTCATTACTTATAAAAACAGCATTCATTATATTAGAAATATTACTTAGGAATAGGATCTCATAGGAAAACCAAAGTGACTCCATCTTACGTCAAACCCTTTATAGGCCGGTGACTGATGGTTGCCCTACTCAGGAAGATAGCCATATTCCCCATTGCTTTCTCCATCTACATTAACCTGTACCTGTTAGCCACACACAAACATTAATCTTAGTAGAATAGAAACATACAAGATAGTCCCTGCATACCTGTAGTCAGTGGTTTTACACAACTCTTATTCTTTAGGTTAAGGGTTGAACCTCACTGTGGTATAAAAGCCCTATCAGGGAGAGGGGTATGGGTCTTGTCTCAACCCCAAATTCTGCCACTGTCTGTGGTGCTGAGGACCCTGTATATTAGTTGCCCATAATAAGTGTTATATGTGATTAATGAAATGTTGTTCTTCAGTCTCAATTTACCTTCTTAATTTGGGGGGAACATATTTGCTTTCATGGTCACACAGACCTTAAGCTGAGAACAAAATAAAAATGTCATTAACATTTCAAAATTTCAGGTTGTATTTTTGTATCACTTTTCCTGCCAATTTCTTAATCCTTTATGGTCTTTAAATATTAGTAATATTCATCATAGAAATGAACAAATTTGAATATTGAGGAAACATCTAGCAGACCCAAGTGCATAAACAAAATTATAAGCATGAAATTAAAATAACTGATGGAAATTATTCTAAATGCTTTTGGCTTCAAAGATGAGTCTGCACAAATGTCTGATTTTGCTTCATAGTTGTATTTCATTTAATTTTTTAATAAGACTTAGACTGGAGGAAAGCATCAGTAATAAACAAAAACTATTTATAGACATTCTGCCTAAAATCAACTAGAATATGTACTTATTAGATTTCCTATATGTATCTCAGGGGTTTCCATTCCCTAACTTTGTCCCGTGAAGAATGTTGTAGGCTTAATGAATGATCTTTTTTTTAATATATTTTATTTTATATACTTTTTACATCATTTTTCATTTTTGCACAATGTATGCTTTTTCATCTTGGTTATAGTCCCCAAGCAAGTCCTTAATGAATGATCTTAATGTAAGACATCATCTGCTACTAATTAAACTTCAGATTTTGAGATCTGATTTAAACACATATGTTTCCTGCTTGTGGTTGCTCATGACTTTATCAGAAAGTAAACACAGATAGGTGGTCAGGTAGGCTCAAAGATTATCACAGAGGTTCTAATACTTATGACCATCCTGTCCCCTACTGAGCCAGCACCTGCAGCTAAAACAGAGGTACTCACTAGATCACCCCTTTAAACCTCCATCATGTGTGAAGATGCCCTGCAGGCCAGGGAACTGTCAGCCCTAGAAGTCTCCATGGAGAGGCTATGGAACAGAAAACCACTCTGTAAGCTATGCCAGTCTCAACTCAAAATGTACCTCAAAGTGCCATTCTTGAAACACAAAACTGAGAAAATAGAATAGAGACATTGCAAGCCACAGAGAGATTCACTGGTTAGTCTATTTCTCTACCAAATGATTTAAATCAAGTCATTCTTTTTTTTTGACATTGTTTTTTTCCACTGAAAATATGAATATTTTATTTCAGTATAAATTATATAAATGAATGGATTTTTACCAAAGTGTTCTGAACGTTAAAACAAAAGTCATAATAATGTGCAAAGCCAAAAAAATCTATCAAAGTTAAATAGATTAAAATTTAGAATCAATTTTTAAAAAGTTCTCTAAAAGAAAATTGTCCATTTCCAATAAAGATATTTTCAGTGTCAGGGGAAATCATACAATGATTATACATGTATCCCAACATCTAGGTGTAGTAGTAATATCACAGGATTAAGAGTGAGATAAGTAGAACAGTATTTTAGCACCATTTTCAAAGATACAATTCCACTAGTGAGAATTTAAAGGATTTTAAAAAGAGCACATTTTGCTTGGGAGATGAGTCAGAAAGTTAATTATTGCTGACACCATTGGTGCATCTGGCTTTGCTTTTTTTTTAACCATTAACGTGAGAGGTTACTGGTAGTTTTGGAATTCAAAAGTGAGTATGTTCAAGTCATGTGATTTTGTGGAATTTAATGTCCCTGAACTTTATTTCCCTCAACTGTAAAAAGAAAATAGCAATGACTACTCCATTTAAATATTATGAAAATAGGGGTTTTACTATTGTTACATTCACTTCTTTATTTCTATGAAAACAGAAAACTGATGACATTAAGCCTTTTAAACTTAATGTATTGATTTCCGTGCCATACTGTGCTCTCCCCTCAGATGATTAGTATAATGTTCTCTTCCTCTATTACATGACTTTCTTTCAACATTCTCCAGTGTCCCTGAAATACAAATTGAGTTAAAAAAAATGAGAGTTCGCTTTTAAAAAGATGTATTTTATGATAATAACATTAATTATATTATAATAATGGGTTCTATCTTGTCATTTGCTGAATAATGTGGGACATTTTAAGTTAAACCTTTTTCATTATGAAATAAATTTTTCACAATTTGCAATTTATAAAAGAGCCAAGAAATAGCTAATACCCTAATATTTACAAAGGTGTTTCAAGTTCCTTGCTGTAGTTTGATCCTAAAGGTCAAAAACTAATGTGCTAAACATCAATAAATTAAGGGGTATGAACAGGTATGATGAAATATAATTTGCTTCAACTTTATTCTATTTTTGTATCCTAGACCTTAAGAAACTCAATCCTAGTTGCTGTACCCAAGCCCATGAGGGTTTAAGAATAAACTCAAGAAAATAAATGTGTAGCAAAGAAATTGGAGTGTAGGGAGAAAGGATTCTGTATGTGTGTGACAGGCTCTCCATTCATCTTTGTGTACAGATACCAAAAGGTACTACCTAAAACCAGAAAAAAAAACAGTTTCTGTCATCTCGCGGTGAAGGGAATGATTGCCCAGCAGGCCT